GATTTGAATTTATACCACTGAAAGTAAGTGAGTAATGTTTGTGCATGTGGTATCAGCTAAACAGGCGGTGCGGTAATGATTTGGAATTCGAAGATGTGATATTGTTGTCCGTTCGTTTAGTAGCTCCATGCAAATGAAATTATTGCTGAGTTTCTGTGTCTTCTGTGAATCAGGTTAACCTTGATGTTAAGTGAGTGGTTAAAAACTTGAGATATCTGAAACATTGCCCCGGTATAAAGGCACTTTCAGAGGCGTAGTTTACTAATCTACTGTAAGGACATTTTGAGAGACTTAATACTTTTTCTATTATTATCCCTGTTTTCTACTTTACGTTCAACCGCTGCTAAGAGATAAATTGTGTACTTTCACTGATTTTACAGATTGGATTAAAATAATGTAAATAATAACAACACTAATTAGACTTTAGTTAGTTAACATAATCAGTTAAATTCAAAACTAGCTGCCATTTAACCTGTTTTTGATAAACACATATTGCATCAATATTGTATCAAAAAATAGTAATGAATCTGAAAAATGGGCGATCCTGCATAATGAGTATCTGTATGATGCTAATACTTTTGTTCTTTTACTTGAGTAAATTTTTGGATTGCAAGGACTGTAACTTTGGTACTTGGAGTATATTTCTACAGTCACTTTTAACTTAAGTACAAAATCTGAGTATTCTTCCTCCACTGGCCCACTCCTCTCGCACCACCTACTCCTCAGAGAGGAAAACTCCAGCATTAGCTACCAATGTTAGAGCACAAGACTTTACCTGTCCTCATGTTTTTTTGGGCAGTGAGAGGGACAAGAAGATTTATAGTTTTAGTGAAAGGCAGTGAGTTTGGCTTGCTAGGCTGAATATGTCCTTGGTCCCCTGGACACCCTGAGCAGCATACACCCGCCCCACCCCCCCCCCCCTGGACACTGCTGGACATTTTGGTGTTCAGTGACTGAGTGTTTGCATTTTTCTCTTCAGCAACAAGACATGGCTGACCGAGATAGTGACGGAGCGGAAAGAGACGCAGAGGAAACAGACGAGCTTTTTTCCACAGGTTTTATTAGCAGTATATCTTTACCTTTATTAATATCTCACCTTATTGGAAGATGGCACTCACTGTTGACCCTTTCATCTGCCCTTACAGATCTGAATGACAACAGCTGTGAGTCTGGACGGGACTCTCCTCCTCTGAAACTGGACCAGTGTGACCTCCTCTTAGATGCTCTGGACGCTCAGCTTGGTCGCCTGCAGGTCTGATTCCCCTTAATGTTTCTGCTTTTCTGTATTAATGTCGCCAAAATGTAATCTGGATTCAAATATTTAAAGAAGTAAGTGTTATTCATTCCTACAGATCCAGCCAACGAAACATCTGGCAATTTCCAGAGAGCGTGATTGCAACGATGATGCGGGTAATGTCACCAACGAACTCCTTATGCCTGATTTAGAGATGTCTGTTCAGGTGATTATCTGTTTGTTTGTTCTCTAGATCCTCTGAGGTGGAGTCATTCTCTGAGCAAAGACACTGGGCTTGGGAGTACAACTCAAACGAACGACACTCCCATGTCTTGTCTTGATTTGATACAAACTCCAACGAAAGAGCCAACTTCAGGTAAAATGTCATTAGTATCGATATAGACAAAACAATTGCTTATTATGTCCTTTAGAAAGAAATAACTGCTCATCATGAGGGGTTTTGTCATTAACTGTGTCCTTGAGTTCTGAATCAAATGTTGAAACCGTTCAGTATTAGAGTAAGCCAGGTGTCTTAATTGGGTTTTTAAAATACTTTTTTGATATACTTCCTTGCAGCATGTTATATATATTTTTGTTGCATATTATACTTTTATTTTTTTATTCCATAACTTTAAAGCATTCTACACCAGGGCTTTCAAAGTGTTGATGACTGCCAATTAAAGCAGCCAATATATGATTTGGGGCTGCACAGGAAAAGTGCTCACATAAAAAAAGGTCGGATTGGTCACAGTGGTGTATGAAATCTTTAAAAAGTAAAACTATTGAAATGAACAGCAAGTGATTAAGAAATATAATTGATCTATGTAATGTCACATTCAGGGTTGGCACAAAATGTGTGTAAGGGCCCGCTGGCCTTCACTTTGAGAAACAACGTTTTACATAACATAATAACCTCATAAATGCACTCTCTTTCTTTACTCAAAAGCACCCTGTCTCCTCTGCTCTTCCCCCAGAGAGGGGCTCGGGCTGCCGGGAAGGTCCTACTATTCACAAAGTAGACAGAAGGACAAGAGACAAAGAGGAAATGGAGTCTCAGAGGGAGCAGGTCCTCTGGAGGCTGGAGAGGCTGCTGGGAGACACCTGTAACGAGGGGGGGGTGGAAGCAGGAATCCTCCCTCCTTCAGACAGCATCTGCACCGAGGACTTTGTCAGCCGCTTCAGAGACGAGATGGTGGAATGGACATTTCCAGAGAGTTATATAGAGAAACTAGACGGAGAGGAAGTGACTGAGAGGACAGAGATATCTGACTGTCAGCGTGAACACTTTATACTTAATGTTGACAGAAGAGGACTGACAGGGAAGAGTAGTGAAAACACAGAGAGTGCTCACGACTGTCAGAGTGAGGAGAGATGTGTTTTTAATAGCCACGGAGTAAACACATCAGGCGGGAGGAAAGCAAGAGCTGGAGAGAGATACAGCTCGCCACAGAGGCTCACTGATGATAGCAGCCGTGAGTACTCTCTTTACAAACCCTTTATGGTGCCCAGAGGATTCATTTCAACCCACACAACTTTTCCCTTCCTACATCTCATGGGTATAGGATAACACCTTTTCATTTTGGACATTATCTTTCCCTTATCCCAGAATGTCACATTTACACACATAAATAAACTAATTATAATGAAAGCACATTCACGCAAGGGAGTGAACCTTTTGATTTAAAGCGCCCCCATGGCCTTTGCTGAAATGCTTAACAACTGTATCACCAAGAGAACTGTATGCTTTGTACCATCACTTTTGTATTGTGTCTACAGCATATCTTAGACTTGTATTATTTACTTTTCATTTGTATGTGCCCTTTACATATTGATTTAGTCCCTCCCCTCTTTCAGTCTCTCACAGAACAGAGGCTGTAGCTGGTCATGAAACCACACAGCTCAACAACAGCTGTTCTCCTAAGGCCAGGTGTTTGGCAGGTACCACACACAGATAACATCCTGGACCTGACATGCACACACTGTGAAGCTAATCCTCTCGGGAATGTATTCACTTCAAACAGTGACAGTTGTCGGCTTGTTTCTCTTGCAGGAGTTCCTGTGTGGAGTTTTGACACCGTGTCCATTGACAGTGACCTGGACTCAGTGTGCACGGAGCAGGTCAGAAACCACATCCACAGGCGGCCAGGTGAGAGACTGCAGAGACTGTGGATGGATGCAAGTGATATTTAAAAATGACAAAACATGTTTAACTAAGGCAACTTAATCAGGGTGTCCGCGGGTCTTAAAAAGTATTAAAAGTTGATAAATCTATTTAGTGAAAATGAAGGCTATTAAAAAGTATTAAACGGCATTTTCCAAGGTATTGCATTTTGTAGCTTGTTTTCAATAAGTATATGCTCCAAGTACAAGTTACAGTCCTGCAATCAAAAGTCACTCAAGTAAAAGAACAAAAGTATTAGCATCATAATATACTTACAGATAAGTACTCATTATGCAGATCGGCCCACTTTCAGATTCATTATATGTTTTAATGAGGTCTTAAAATGTATGGAAAGTGTCTTAAAAAAGGTCTTAAAAGGTATTACATTTGACTTCAGGATTCCTGCATATTAATAATGTTAATGCATGTCGTAAAAGTTGCATTTTTTCTAATGTGATTTGAGATATAATTCATTTTAGAGGTTCTTTAGACCCAATGTCTAAACATGTATTTAGAATGTATTCTCTAAATTCTTCTAAATTAATGCAATATTTTCCATTGTAGTTTAATAATGATTATGATCAAATGTTAATAAATAAGATGTATGTTATATTTTTTAAACTGTATGCTTTAGTTAACCATGTTTGTCCCATTGGCCAAGTGAGCAGCAACACAGTTTTAACAATGAACATTTAAGCACAAAGACTTGAGTACATTCAAATGATCAAGTTCTGGCTTTAGGAAAAACAAAAATGCAAAAAGCCTTCCAGACAACAGAGGTTGTTTAATTTGTAATTCCAATTAAAAAGAGAGTAGGTGAACGGCACCTGCTATCATTAAGCTTGTTTATCTATTGGTGTGTACAGTATGCTGTAAAGAAAAAGGTTTCCACTTTTCAACCATTCTGACCCGACAAAGATCCAATTAGGGTCGAAACATAGTTATTAAAAAAGTGTTGTGCTATAAAGTTAGTGTGCAGGCGTTAACCTCTTCCTTCATGATGCTGTTTTTCTGCATCTTGATGTGTGTATAATTACTCTTCAACATATATAAAGTATTCCCATTTGTTCAGCAAAAACCCAAGAGCAGACAGCACAAACAAAAAAAGGTCAATCTTAAAAATGCATTCTTGAAATGACAGTAAGCATCCGGTGTGATCTCTCCCAGGATGGCGCTCCCTCCTTCAGTCTGTCACAGGCATGGAGGAGCACTGTACCAACCACAGTGACACACACACACAGGGGGAGGGTGAGGCGAGATCGTCATCAGGTAAAACAAGATCTTACTCCGCACTTCTTTATGAGTCCACAGCAACAAAAATAACTAGGGTTGCAAAGGGGCGGAACGTTTCCGGTACATTTCCGGAAAGTTTCCATGGGCAGTTAAGCTGGGGAATTTTGGAAATATTCGATGCAAAATTAAACAGGACATATCAACAGATTTTATTTTATTTTTTAAAGTAGAACAGAACAAGTTTAAACATTTTTATTGAACAATTATTTGTTTCATTGAAGAACGAAAACAGGAATGTTGAGTTAAATATGAATCATCTGTGCATGTGATGGAGGAATGCACAGTGCCTGTAGGGGGTGTGGTCTCAATAGCCATGCAGCAAGCAGTGTGCTATGGCATGGATATTCAAGTGTACTTAAATGGCATCTGTTTGTTTTAGTCAAGATTATGCTAAAATATACTTTCCCCAACTATATTTAAGTTCCCTATGAAGAGCCAACCTTCAATTTAGAAAATTCCCATAAATTCCCGTTTATTCCCATGAAAAGTTTCCATCTTTGAAAATTCCCAGAATTTTGCAACCGTAAAAAGAACTAATACAATCTTTAAATGTCAACGATTGTGCCTTTATGTTGACAAAGGCCGAAGCTTCTCTTCTCTTGGAAAAGTACACAACAGAAGTCCTTCTGTCNTCGGGAACGGAGCATGTCAGCCGTCACCAGACACCCTTCCATTATAATGTTCCTGACCTCGCTTTCAAACGACTCACTCATAATTGCTCGAGAGTAAACGTGATATAATTAAGCCTTGAAGTTACTTAATAAATTCTAAAAGTATAAGGCCAAATCCGAAAAATGATTAATGATTACGGATAGATCGTTACTCGACAAAGTCGCAGTGTCGGTGATACTTTAGACGTGGCCGGTACGGTCGGTCAGGACGGCGTAAGGGACTTAGTCTTCAGAGGACGGGACCACGGACAACACCTCCCGACACAGACACTACTCCAATGAGGAGTCGGCGACCGCAGAACACGACGATTTTCCAGACCACCAACGAGGATAAGACCCCGCAAGGTGATGTTCGGTCCCGCGTAAAACCCGACTACTCTGCAACGCCACAAGCGGAAACACTCAACACTATGCGGACTCGATGCCCACTGTACTTCGAAGGACGAGACGGGTCCCTGCAAACGGTTGCAACATCACCGACTCTCCCGCCCCGGGACGGCCGGCGTAGGTCAGTGCGGGGTGTACGGTCCGTCGGTGTCCACTGGGCGGTCGATTGGCCTGAACTACCGGCGGCCAAACTCTGGGAGAAGTTCCCGTGGGTACACAAATAGTCGAACCAGCCTGACACGAGCGTCCGTCCCGTTCCCCGAGCACGCGCAAGTTGCCCACTTGACACCGCTCCTTTTGTTGGTTTTTTGGCCCTTCGTCTCCGACGACAGGATTTGTTGTTCCTCGACAGTGTAAGAGGTTTAACATACCGTAGTTTTGGGAGTGGTAGCGTCTCTTATGGGGGGGTCGCTTTCAGGACACTGCATTTTTGCCTAAACTCCATGGCCTATTAACAAGTTCCCGTATACACCGTAAAATTATGTCTAATTTGTAAAGGAACACGGCGCGCAAAACGTGAAGCGGAAATTCTCTTGTTGTTATTTGAGATTCCGTTGTACATCACGTGTCATAACGTTTTTATTTTCGTGTCCTCGTCTATGAGTCTCCGTAGAGTTTAACTTCGTCTATAATAACAGTTAACACGATTAAGACTGTATGGCAACGTATTATATGGAATTACGTGTTGAATTTTACAACTAGGTGGCCCGGTCCGGAATTAATTTGATGTCTAAATTGACGTTCGTAATCTCAACCGGCTAATCCGTTGTCCGCCGTCTTAAGTAATTTGTAGATATTTAGAAGATTTTTTATGTAAGAGCAGAGAGGGGACGAGGAGTCCGAGTTTAACCCGGTCGAGCGCCGCATGGGCAGATCTAATGTCCTATTACTCGGACCAGCAGACGAAAGAATCACCGCCCTTTCCGGACTTCCACCGTTGATCTACCGGCCTCATAGCGGTGGGCCACTGGAAGCTGCCTCCCCCGTCTCGCACTTTCCGCAAAGAACCGGAGGGGTCCGTTGGATGGCTCGCGTCAGACACCGGACACGCCCGTTGATCGTTTACCGTTATCCGAGTCCCTACTTGGACTGGGGTACCGCCTTTTCCGGCTTCTCTCGGTCCGTTTTTGCCTCGGACCCGACCGTTCTCGACCGGTCCAGCGGACACTCCGACGACGTATGTCAGTCGGTCCCCCCTCTTTTTGTCTCCCTTATTCAAAACACATATCATACACACAGTTGTTCAGGAAGGCCTGGGGGTCCAATTTTACATGACATGGCTTAAACACGTTATTGGTCTTGGCTACAATGCCCCCACAGAAAGCATCAGTCTCAGAGCTTTTTCTGGTTGCTGTCACATGTAGGACAGTTTCTCAAACAGTTTGTTTATTTGAAGATCCATTAAGTTAGAATGACTTACTACATCGTGCCAAAAATGTCAGATTATTCTTGTAGTGTCACCTGTGTTTGTTACAAGCAATCAGAGACAGAAGAAGTACTTAGCTCTTTTAATTAAGTAAAAAGTAGGAATACCATGATCTAGGAATACTCCTACATAAAAGTACTCTTTAGACAGATGGGCCCATTCTAGAATAATAAAGATTTGATTACAATAATTGAATAATAATTAATCAAAATCTTAAAAGTAACTAAAGGTATTACATAAATATAGTGGAGTAAAAGTACACCATTAACCAATGAATTGTAGTGAGGTTTAAGTAACGTAAAAGAAAATTAAGTACAAGTTCCTCTAAATTGTACACAAGTAAACATATTTAGCTAGCCTACTTTACAGCACTGCAAGCAATGATGTATTTTAAATAGTCACATCCCAATGCAGACCACAGACCATTTCTCAAGACATTACCAACAATAATTCCCTTTAGCAATGCATGGATTAGTATCTTTTGCTATTACAAGGGCAGAGACATAGCCATACCCAACTCATCACTCAAAACAAGACAAAGAAAGGGTAGACAGCAGCACTGTGTTGAGATTTGAGTGTTTCATGTGAAAGAGGAATAACTTAGTGTGCTGCAAATATTGAGAGACGTGATACAAGTAAAAAATGAACATAGCTGAGTGAAGAATGCACATACATGCTGGGAAAAACTCAGGTTAAACCCATTGTGGAAATAAACGATGACTCGATTTTAAACACGTGTGTACCTACAAACAATAGCCCAGTCATGGTACCTACAAACAAATGCCCAGTCATGTCACTTACCAAGTCCCAGCAGGCACACCTGGAGCAGCAGCAACAACTGCATTACTGCACAATCTTACAAGAATTAAATAACTATAGCAATTCGTTTTTCATGACAGGAAAAACTAAATTCGAATGTTAGGGATGAGCTAGCGCCACACTGCTGGCAACGAGGGAAAGGTGGTGAAAACGGGTTGACCTCACAATTTGGACTAATTGCAACTGCCATGTGATCTGCATTATCATTAAATAGCAACATGCTGTGGCGTAGTTTTGTTTTTTATTATTTAAATGATTAGGTATCTTTTTTTATGTTTTACTCCGGTTCAAATAAAAACTCTATCACCCATCGTATCCATATGTCATCCTAAATCGTTACATTATTTGGCACATATGACTGCTTCAGTGTTATCGTGCCCCATCACCATCTGAGCTGTATCTCAGCAGTTTTCAGGAAATTGTCGTGACAGAAGCTCTCACGCATGTTGGCTTTTTTCCGCAAATGCAACAACAACTTGACTGAGAAACTTTAAGTGGCAGTTCAGCGCTTTGTGAGGTGGCTGTGAATCCCCTTGTAGGCAGTGCTTGAATTGGGCCGGTACTCACCGGTACGCAGTACCGGCACTTCTGATTTTTACCCATGTGGTACCGGCACTTCTTACTGAGTACCGGCAAGGTGCCGGTACTCAGTAAAATGCCGGTACTCAGCCGCCGGCAATATACGTATATATTGTAAACGCAACGCATGTGGGTCTGACTCTGCCTCACAGAGGGTGACTGGCTGTCTACATCACGTGGCCTGCCGACATTGCCACTTTCATACAGATCATACTAATGCCCTCGATTGGTCTCTGTGTGTCATTCAAGCTCGGGAGGGTGTGTGTTGGTGTATGTGTGGCGCGAGCGAGCGAGAAAGCGCGCGCACCGGTTACGTGTATTGTTGTTAGCATCTGGTGCTAGCTAGCGCGCTAAACGGATATAAGCGAGGCGTTTCAAACAACAAGTGACGGGAAGGGTCCTTTTGCCGTGAACGCCGAGAGTCTGAAACTACAGGCTTCTGGTGGAGGTAAATTATCTCCGAAGTCTTTAGATAGTTAGAATAGTTTAAGTTATTCTCAGTGGGGTCTCAAACAGAAGAATAAATTGTTGAGCAGCAAACTAGTGCTTTTCGTTTGGCCTCAAGAAGAAGCAAGGGGAGAGCAAGGGAGACGGAGAGGGCCGATTCAGGAAGCCCAGGACACCTCACAATCAATGAACCAAAAAACAAATAAATAAACAAGTTCAATGTTTTTTCATATGATATTGTATGTTACTTGTTTATGGGCCATGTACTCTATGGATTTTTAAATCGATTATTAAATGTAATACCATTTGTTTCGTTTCATAGGGTGAGTCTCTTATTTGCCCCTCAAAATGCCACCAGATTGCTGCATTGTAAGTCAGACATTTAAAAAAAAATCTACCGGGCCGAGCATGCCCGGCCGACCCTATAGGACATTGGGCCCGCCCCACTGTTTCCCCAAATAGATTTGCAATTTTTAAATATAGCCCAATCTCCATAATGATTTGCTTTGGGTAGTAGATTAAAAGAAGGGCTACTCACTCTTGTGCAGCAACGGTCGGCTATTGAAAATAAACCACGCAAAATGGCACAAAAAACGTAAGTGGCCCAGGGGACGAGGATCCATTAACCAGTCCCAGTAGGAGTCAAGCTTTACTTTCTTTAACTACATAAAGAAAAGTAATCGTTTACCAGTTGTTTCATTATGGATGTTGAAAAGGTATCCATCAAACTCTTCAATTGCCCAAAGTGCACCCAGAAAGATGCATCTAACTTCAATATTTAAAAAAAAAAAATGTCCCGGGGGAGCAAGCCCCGGACCGCCTAAAGACCTAAGAGGTTTCAGGTCGCACTCCCCAACTTGATAAAAAATAGCACTTACCACTGCACCCCTCTAAACTCAGATCACCCTGAGTCATTTTGTTTAAAGTACAAGTGACCTTTCTATAAAACANGTGAAAATGTCTTACTAAAACGACGCCAAATGTCACTGTAGTGTATATTTCTGTATATTTTTGGGGAAATCTAGTGTATTCATCATTTTCCTACACATTTATTCACTGGTGTCTCTAACCTGCAAGTTGCTCTTTAAGTGTTATTATGGGATAACCTAATTACTATTCTTGTGGTACTACTGCCTTATTAGGCCCATATTGAGCAGAGCATATTAAGACCAAAACTCATGTACAACAACTTAGTTACTTGCCATAAATAAGCACTAATTAGAGGTTTATTGAGGAAAATGTTAATTAACGAGTTGATGGTGAATTTGTGTACCTTAATATAAGTGTTACCTTGGATCATTTTCCTGAGTTCCTTTATTTTCCATTCCTTTGTTATTATTTTTTTAAACA